TCCAAGGAGTATCCTTTGATCAAATGAGTATAGACATCAAGTAATCACTATTTATGATCTCTTGTCTCACTAAGTTATCTTCAATTGTTCTCACCCTGAGCACTATCAAGAAAGCCTTTTACTGTCTTTTTCCAAATGCACTGAAATAGCTGCAAAGATTATACAATACCATACGTAATAGAGGCATTTTCCATTTTACTTTTAGAGAGCACATTGCATAACTATGATTACAACTCTGTTAAAATACCTGTCATCCTATGTTTCTCCTTCTTTTCCACCTTCTATAGCTAGACTTTTATAAAAGCAAGTGAGCTTTTAGGATCCACCTATCTCTCCTCTCCAGGTCCTCATGCTTGCAAAATTAAGAACTCCTACCCAGTAAGCCAACTTTCTAAACCCTAACTTTATTACTTAAAAAAAAAAATGGCCCATATTCAATTTTATCTTGTACCCCATCTCTCTCTTCAGAATCCTCATCTCCTATTATCTACTTTTAGAACAAAGACTCCAGATTAATATGCAACTACTGGAATTAAAAACAGTCTTCTTTGATTCGAGCTGCCAAGGAAGCCCAAGCGATTCATGTCCTCACCTTCGTGGGATAAACAGAACTGGACGGGAAAGCCACCAGGGTAGTGAGATCAGAGTAGCGTCGCTCTATGGTCTTTTTAGTAGCAGGACAGTAGTGAACACTGCGAACAACTTTGGGACGAACCAGAGAGCCTAGGAATGCAAAGGTATACATAAAGTCACCCAATGACACAATGACAAAGGAGGGTTTTAAATACTATGTTCCTCCAATAAGGTTAACCTATTTCAGCAATACTTGTCATTTATCCCGCTTACATGTACACATATGGTATAATGTATCCATGTAAAATCTAAAGTACCACTGAAGTCAATTAAGGGACAGTTTGGGGTTGCAATATTGGAAGAGCAGGGGCTCTCCAGCTTCAGAAATACATCATTCTGCTACCACTGGTGGTCACTTCCAGTCCCCCTAGTTGCTGTCCCCTAATTTTACTATTTAATTTCAGTGCTTCACTTCTCTGACATGACAAGTTCCCCAGACCCGCTACAATTCTTCCGGTTTCAAGACCTCCTAAATCTCCATCCTCCCATCTCCTGAGGATCCAGGCACCACCTTCAACCCACTCACACTTAGTAACAATGCCTTCCACACAGACCACACAGCTGAGGAAGCAAGAAGTGAGAGTCCGGGGAGAGACGTGCTTTGAGCCGAAGCTGCCCTCCAATCCTATGTAGAACTCCTCATACTGTTTGGCATAGGTAGCATCAATGGAGGCCACAAAGTCCTTCAAGGCCCGCTGGAAGGCAACCAGCTCCTCAAAAGCATTGTTCAGGAGGCTGCATGAGATCAAGACAAAGGAAGAACCATTAGGTAGAGTTCAGGAAGTTGACCCTCAAGACAAGAAGAAACAGTCGTTGGGTCATTAAGATCAGCGAACGATAATCCCATGTCTGCTTTGTCCTGCCACTGTGTAAGACTCAGAAATACATCAGAACTGAAGGTCACTTCAACTCAAAGATGCAAAAGTGATACTCAGAGAAACACTGGAAGATTGGAACACTCGAGATGATGACAGCCATGCAAACAAGGTCTTTCCCAGGGAAGCCCGTTCCAGTCTAAACAAGATGACTCCTTTCTCACCCCGAGGTGGAGTGCTCCCCCCGAAAACGCTGCCATCACTCAGCCCGAGGTGGAGTGCTCCCCCTGAAAACGCTGCCATCACTCACCCCGAGGCGGAGTGCTCCCCCCAAAACGCTGCCATCACTCACCCCGAGGCGGAGTGCTCCCCCAGAAAACGCTGCCATCACTCACCCCGAGGCGGAGTGCTCCCCCCGAAAACGCTGCCATCACTCACCCCGAGGCGGAGTGCTCCCCCCCGAAAACGCTGCCATCACTCACCCCGAGGCGGAGTGCTCCCCCCGAAAACGCTGTCATCACTCACCCCGAGGCGGAGTGCTCCCCCCGAAAACGCGACCATCACTTACCGGTTAGCCCGCTTTTCATTTTTCCTACGCAGGTCATTCACACTGACAATCAGCCGGTACTGGTTGTCACTGATCAGCTCCCGAACTTTGTTCTGGTAAATTCCCTGGTCTTCCTGAAAAGCAATCGTGACATATCAAAAACAGCTACACAACTCAAAGTGTTTCAGAACAGTTGAATTCACAACCTGTGCTACCAACTTCTGCCTTTCATTCACTTTCTCAGATTTCACCTAAAACCTATTAGGTGCCTGTAAGAATCACAGTCAATATGAACCCAGGACACCGAGGGTCCCTTTCTGCAGGCTGTTTTATTTATAGCAAGTTTGGATTTCCACAGCTCCAAAGAGGAAAAGTTTTATTTAGAACTTAGGTTGGGCACGGGGGTAAACTATAATTCCAGCATTCAGACTTCTGAGGCAGGAGGATCACCACTGAGTTCAAAGCTGGACTATGGAGTGAGACCTTTTCAAGAGAACCTGTAAAAACTGGAAGAAGGAGTGATGTTCAGGGAGAGTAAGATTGGCCTCAGTCTAAGGGACAGCCAGCTCAGGATTCAGGGAAGTGCTAGAAGGTAGCTGGAAAGAGAGAAGTCAGAATGCAGGCAGGCTCAGCAACGGGGTCTGCAGCTGTGTCAAGGACTTGGGGAACTTAAGGACATATCCCATGAGTTTTGTTTTTTTGTTTGTTTGTTTGTTTTCCGAGACAGGGTTTCTCTGTATTGTTTTGGAGGCTGTCCTGGAACTCACTCCGTAGACCACGCTGGCCTCGAACTCACAGAGATCCGCCTGCCTCTGCTTCCTGAATACTGGGATTAAAGGCGTGCGCCACCAACGCCCAGCTAGGGTGGTCATTTCTAAGTTCTGATCCTCTGGTGGGACATACTTTTTTCTGTCTTTTGGCTGTAGGATGGTCTTCCCTAGGTTATAAAGGCTTCTACCATCATGGGATGAAGTCTAGGCCTTTCTGTTGTTGTGATTTGAAAAAAAAAAAATGGTCCCCAAAGGGAGTGGCACTATTTGTTGAAGAAAGTGTGTCCCTGTGGGGGCAGACTCTGAAGTCTCTTTCCTCAGGCTTCACTCAGTATGACAGTCAGTTGACTTCCTGTGGCCTGCAAGATGCACTCAGTTCCTGTACCACATCTGCCTGCATGTTTCTATGCTCCCCTTCACGACCATAATGGACTGAACTCTAAAACTGTCATGGAGCCACCTCAATGAAACATTTCCTCTATAAGAGTTGTCATGGTCATGGTGTCTCGTCACAGCAATAGAAGCCCTAAAACAGCTGTGAACACCAATAGAGCGTTAGTGACTCAAAAGGTGCCTCCTGCACATGGCTGCAGACAGCCCTTTCTTCCTGCCCAGCATCCCCATCACATGCTGTCATGATCAACAGTTCTCCTATAGGTTTATATTTTAATTGGAACTTAAAATAAAAAGTAAAATAAAAAGCAAAAAAAAATCTTGCTAATATGAAAACTTCGTTTTAAAAACTTGATGTTAACACGCCTGCCCGCAGACTTATTTTAAAATCATGATGTATATCTCAAGTGCACACAAAAATGTAAATTAAGCTCTCTTAAAATTCGAATTAAAATTGCTTTTCATTGATAAACAAACTTTCAGTGCTCACCAACATCCTAGAGCTGTTTAAATCTGGGGTTGCACAGACACCCCACTTTACCTACACAGAAAACACAATTGATCTGCCAGAAGGAAAGTAGCCAAATTGGTGGAAGTCTCCCCCCACCCCACCCCACCCTCATAGCAGCAGCAACTCAGTAACTAAAATCTGAGCACTCTGAGCCAGGTACAACAACAGCTCCCGGTGCACCCTGGGCGCAGAACCTCCCCCCTTTCCACCCAATAGTTAAGATGGGCTTGACCATTTGTTTACCCCTGCCCAGTCTCCTCCAGCAAGCTGCGTCATCACACGCATTCTTATATACCAACTAGATGGCTTTGGAGAAAACTAGCGACTAACCAAGAGACCTTTCAAGAGAAATATGCAGCTCAGGGGAAGACAGCAAGCACGGGGCCCTGGGGACTATCTACATCACCGCATAAAAACTCAAATAAATAAATAAAACCTCTCCCGGTAAAATTCATTGACTCATTTTTTTAAAAGACTTGAAAGCAGGTAGATAGGAGGGGATCAGCCGGGGCAAGGAAATGAAAGAGGGAGTGATGAAAAGCGAATATGGACAAAATGCATTGCTTATGAAATTTCATAATGAAAGTCATTACGTATGCTAATTTAAGGCATGAAAAAAATGTTAATTTTGAGGTAAACATGGAGGAGGAGGAGGGTGAGGAAGAATTAGAAGAGGAAAAGACACCAGGAAGTTGCGGGGAGAAATGCAGCACCAGCGGCCCTGACCCTCGGCGGGGATCTCGGGGGCTGGATCCCATCAGCCGGGCCCAGGTCAACCGCAGGAACTCGATCAGCCGGGCCCAGGCCAACCGCGGGGACCCGATCAGCCGGGCCCAGGCCAACCGCGGGGACCCCAGCACCGGGACGGCCGCCCGACCCCCACCTCGTCATCCAGGAAGTCCAAGTAGTCTCTCTGCGCCTCCCGCAGCTCCACATCGTCCAGCACTACGGTGCCCGCCATGCCGCTGCCCCGAAATCGCCGGCCGCCAAAAATTGCCAAAAAACCCGCGTGGCTCCGCCCCGGCGCGAAAACTTCCCAAGTTTTCCCGCCACGGAAGTTTACCGGGGAGGACGCAGGGAGCCAAGACGCACTATGAATGGCTGATCCCTCTAACTTCCGGAATCGCAACTGTCCAATAGCGAGGTTCTTCTTATTCCGCCTCCCTTCAGGGCCTGGATTGGAGGGGAGTGGCCTCGCTTTCTCTGCCCTAATAGGAAGGTAACTCAAGACCCGCCCTCCCGGCCATTGAGCAACAGGAAGTTTAGAAAGCACTGCATTCTGGGAGTTGTGGTCCCTACGTTTTTTGACCGTAGGCCCTTTCGTCAGGTGGGAAGTTAGAATTTACTGAGGTGTCCAAGTTTGCGCCCCGTTGGACTTAGATGGAAAATAAAGTAAACGTTAGAGAAAGAGAATTTTTAAGCACGGAGTACTAAAATATAAAAGCAAATGTTTTTAAAATTGTATCTAATTTGCTGACCTTAACAGCATCTTCCCAGAAAATTATCTTTTGAGATTCTTTCAGACGAAAAATGAAATCGAATGTAGGAAATATGTTAGTACATTGAACACTCATTTCTTACCTTAATACACCGTAAAAGTATCAAGCCACTAGGAGTCTGAAGTAAAGGAAAACTCTTGGGTGTGTAGACCTAGAGACCGTCTTGTGCTATTACACAAAGGTTGGCATACGACACCATGTTATACACAGGTAAAATGTAATTTAAAGTCTAATCACATCACTTTCCGCCTTCCCTTTCTTCCTTTTGATGCATCTCCTGTCCCCTGCCTTCAGCTCCTCCCATGCTGCTCCCCCACCCCCTCAAATCAACAGCTTCCTTTCCTTTGATTATTACTATTAAATGGTGTGTGTGTGTGTGCGCGTGCGTGCGTGCATGCGTGTGTGTGTGTGTGTGTGTGTGTGTAAATAACGGTTGTTGAGTCCATTTAGTGTTGCTTGTGTGTATGATTTCAAGGCTGACCAACCTGTGCTGGATAACCGTTTCGGGGGCTCACCCCTGGGAGAGACTAATTTTCTCTCTTTGAGCGTCATTAGCTACCTGTAGGTCTTGTAAGGGTAGGAGGATCAGAAGTGAATGCTTGACTATTCTGACAAATTGAGCTGAGGACCAGCCTGGTATACATGAAAGTGTGTCTCAAAATTATAATAATGGTAATGATAATGCTAGTAATAACACCACATATATATTGACCTAGCATGTGTTTTAATTTTATTGAACAGAAAGCTAAAATGCTAGATTGCCCAGCAGGACATTTGGTAACTTCATGTCTAAAGTTTGTATCAATGTATCATTACTTTGTATTAAAGATCCACAGTACTCATTGCAGATAAAAATGCGAAGTATAAGCTGCCTAACCAAAACATATATGCCATCTTTGTATATATACACATGCTTCTACTTATGATCATTCAGGTTTAGTATACTTTCTTGCCATCCTAGCGGGCATGCTTTTGTGTATACTTGCTGAGTGGGAAGGGTGGAGAATAGGGTTCCATCCTGTTTGAAATTATATAGAAAGAGATCATTATTAACTTGATGTCTTGATCACTTGGGTATAACGCTTTCTGAGTATACTAGGTACAATATTGGTAATATTCTCTGTTCTTGAAACAATTTCAAAAAAAAAAACACTAAAAAGAGCCAGGATGCTAACCTAAAGCCAACCAACCAAACAACAACAGCAACAACAAAAAATTAAAATAAAACCGGTCATTTGCAGTGGAAAGCCCAAAGAAGTGAAACTGGAAACCACGTCTTTTAAACTTATCTACGCATATAAATTTGAAGGCAGAGGTTGATGTCTGGTGTCTTTGTCGTCATTCTCCCTTAGATTTTTGGAAGAGGAACTCATGGAGCTTGCTGGTTCAGCTAGAATCCAGAGGTCCATCTCCATCTCTCCAGTACAGTGATTACAGGTTTTTACTATTGGGCTTGGCTTTTTACATGGGTGCTGGGGGGGATGAACTCAGGTCTGCATGTATGTGAGACAAACACGTTACCCACTGATCCATCTCTATAGACTCCATATCATTGATTCTAGAGTTCTTTCTGGCCTTCAGTTTCCTCATCCTATGTATGAGGAAACTGAATTGTAAACTCTCCAGTAAGCTATCTCTTGTAGCCTAAGAACCGATGACAAATTAGAAATGGTATAAGGAGCCGGGCGTTGGTGGCGCACGCCTTTAATCCCAGCACTTGGGAGGCAGAGACTGGCGGATCTCTGTGAGTTCGAGGCTAGCCTGGTCTACAGAGTGAGTTCCAGGACAGCCTCCAAAGCTACAGAGAAACCCTGTCTCGAAAAACCAAAAAAAAAAAAAAAAAAAAAAAGAAAAGAAAAGAAATGGTATAAGGACAGATTTCATCCAATGAATCAATTGTGCTGTTGTCTTTAGTACAGACTTGATTTGCTCTGCCGTCATCCGCAACCATGAAGACGGAAAAATGTGATTGGTATTTCTCCCTGCCTTCATAAGGACATGAGATCAATAAGCAGAAGAGGTACCTTTCCTTGGTTATCATCTACTCCTCCAAACTGCCCAGAGAGAGCAATCAGACCATTCCTAAGAAACCTTAGAAGTAATGCAGCTCAGCTGGTAGAGTGTTTGGCTGGCATGCACAAGGCCCTGAGTTTACTTGCTAGCACCAACAAAAAGAAAGAAGGAAAAACAAATCGGTGCATATATACCGAAAGACCCTTCAGTCTTTCTCTTAGGACTCTCGCCCCAAAGACCACCAGGGAGCCGAAATTTGTTGCAAAATGCAAGATAATTTTTATTAAGCCGGCGTGCCAGGGTTCAGCAGACTTGGGAAGGAGTGAACCCCGAGCAGAAATTACAGAGAGTTTTTAAAGCCTGAAACCACAAACAGGGTAGTGGGGACACAAGGGGAGTTTGGAAATTGGTGCCAAACCTTCATGAATCACATAAGCTTGTGGTTGTCTGGCTGACTGGCTTGTTATCTGTCTCAGGCAATGTCTGTGCCGTGGCTGAACTTTGTGACCGGCCTGGAACCTTGAGGTCTGGGGAATGTTCCCAAGTCCTTGAGGATTGAGGTCTGAGAAATATTTTCAAGTCCTTGATGACCACCAGGGGAGGATGTCTATCTTTAAGTGTAGCTGCTCACATTCAAGGATGGGACAGCTTAGTAATTTCCCCAACTGTTGGGGAAGGTTGGGGGCTCTTCAGTACATCTCTCTTTCAAAGTTGAGGTGAGCTTTGCCAATGGCTCCTCTGTGCTCTGACTCAAAATGAAGACAAACACACAACCTGGTGATTTAGTCGATCGGAGGGCTCCTCATCTGTTCACATTCTTGCTTTGCTTACTATCTGTTGGCTTTCTGCCTTGGGCACTGATGGGCCCATGCTGATTTCCTGGGAGGCTACCTGGGAAGCAGAGTACAGATGCACGGTGAAAGCCAAGACATTGGAAAGTATACAAAGTGCTTCCCTTTTTCCCTATCTCCAGCTCCAAGAAAGTACTTGAGGACAAAGCACAAAACCACAATGAAGCAATACTTCTTCAAACAACATTTATCTTTTTGTTCATTAAGCAACATCGGATATTGCAAACATTTCAAACGATGCCTTCTAATTTGTTTTAGGCACCCAGGAAATCACTCATCAGTCCTTGACATTCTCACAAAGGCCACATAAACTTGGGAGATCAGTCTGCCCTTCAAGTACTAGGGAAGATTAAACAATAATCCACACGTGCAGACTTGCCCACCCAAGTAGGTCCGTTCTCTGTGGTGTAGCTTAGTTATACACATCATATGCCAACAAGATACAAAGACAGTCAATGTTCATTACTATTTTTTACTTCTCTGCTTATATACTGTGTAACTCTAGGCAACTTATTCAACCATTCTGTAACTTAGTTTCCTAACCTTTTAATGAAGTTAGACATAATGTCCAGCTAACAGAAGAGTTTGAATAGTCAGTGAAGTAAAATACTGAGAAAAGCCCCTGAAATGTAGCAAATATTAAATAAGTAGTGGTGGTGGTGATGGTGGTGGTGGTGGTGATGGTGATGGTGATGATAATGGTGATGGCGATGATGGTGGTGTTGAAGGTGGTGGTGGTAGTGATGGTGGTGATGATGATGGTGGTGGTGATGGTGATGATGGTGATGGTGGTGATGGTAATGATGGTGATGGTGGTGGTAGTGGTGATGGTGATGGGGTGGTGGTGGTGATGGTGGTGGTGGTGATGGTGGTGGTGGTGATGGTGGTGGTGGTGGTGGTGGTGATGGTGGTGATGGTAATGGTGGTGATGGTGATGGGGTGGTGGTGGTGGTGGTGGTGGTGGTGGTGGTGGTGGTGGTGATGGTGGTGGTGGTGGTGGTGGTGGTGGTGGTGGTGGTGGTGGTGGTGATGGTGGTGGTGGTGGTGGTATTGTGGTTGGAGAGGTAGTCAAGGAATGACAAAAGTATGACAAAAGCAATCTGGTGCATTTCTAAACAATTCACAAATTCAAGCCCCCTCCCGTGCCCACCACAAAGTTAAAGTAGAATTTATTCAAATACTTCCTTGATTTACACCCTGTCTACTAGAAGTCTGGTTGGCTAAATAAATAACACACAGACAGAACAAGATTTGGCTGTATCTGTATGGAAAACCATCAGACATATTTGCTTCATATTTAAGTCATGTTACTAAATGTCCAATGGTCCTCAAAAGAGTCAGTGTGCCTTCTAAAAGAGCCTGGCTACTCTTCTTGATCTTTTCCAAACCCCCACCATATATTTCTAGATTCCTGTGGGTTAGTATTGCTAAAAGATAGGAAAATCTAGGGGCCAGACAATACTAAATGATCCAACTTTTCAAATCAACTTTTGCAGAACATTTAGCTTATCAATATTTTGCGATTCATTGTTGTTTGGCAAGATTAATTTTAGTAATCTCTTGCAGTCCCTAAGAAATCATCACCACTTTTAATTTTTTTTCCTAAAATAGATTGCCTGTCCATATTCTTTTCCCTCTTCTACTCCTCCCAGACTTTCCCCCCTCCCTACCCATCTAACTACATGGTTTTTTTCTCTCTCTCAAGAGAAAGAGAGAGAAAGAAACCAAACACTAAAAGAAAACAAAGAACATAAAAAACATGCCGTTCATTTTGTGTTAGCCAAGTACTCAAGAGCATGGGGCCTACTTTGGAGTATGGTTGATATGCCCAGTGTCACTCCATTGGAGAAAACTGATGCTACCTCTCTAGAAGAATGACAATGGCAGATAGCTTCTTGTCTAGGACTGGGACTTTGTGATCACTTCCTCTTCTCCATACTGCAATTTTGTCTCGCTTAAACCTGAGCAGATCGCCAGGAGGTGGTGGAGCATGCCTTTAATCCCAACCCTTGTGAGTTCGAGACCAGACTGGTCTACAAAGCTACACAGAGAGACCCTTTCTCAAAAAACAAACAAACAAAAACTTGAGCAGATCTAGTGCTGATGAATGCATATGCATATCAGTTCTGTTGTGTCTAGAGAGGTTTCCTTGGATTCATCTGCCACCTGTAGCTCTTACTGTCCTTCAGCCTCCTTTTCTGAATAGATCCCTGAGCCCTGAGGGAAGGGGTTTGATGAAGACTCCCCATTTGGAACTGAGTGACCAAAACTCTCTCACTTTCTACACACTGTCCAATTCTGGCTCTCTGTGTTCATTCCCATCTAGTGAGAGAAGAAGCTTCTCCGATGAGGGTTGAGGCCTGATATATCCACCATGTTATCTCATTATAGGCCCTAAAAACAACATACCGAATAATCAGAGACTGAAATCATGCTCCTTTTCAAGTTACCATCTTAGTCACTGTTCTACTGCTGTGAGGAGATACCGTGACCCTGGGAACGCCTATCTAAGAAAGCATTTGCTTGGGGCTTGCTTACAGCTTCAGAAGGTTAGTCCATCACTATCATGGTGGGGAACACGGCAGTAGCCATGGTGCTAGAGAAGCAGATGAGAGCTTTACATCCTGATCTACAGGCAGCAGGCAGAGGGAGGGAGAAAGACTGGGCCTAGACTGGGCTTTTGAAACCTCATGTCCCACCCCCTGGGACATGCTTCATTATTCCAACAAGGCCATGCCTCCTAATCCTCCTAATATTTTCAAACTGTTCTACTCACTGATGACTAAGCATTGAAATATATGAGCTTATGGGGACCATTTTTATTTAAACCACCACACGTATCCAAGACATTTTGTCGCAACAGCTGAAACCTAACGAGGATAAGTGAGTATGTTAGGATCCGAATGTAACTGAGGGAGGGCAGTCAGATGACTGTAACCCTAGCACCCCTCTTATGAGGCTGAGGCATGAGAATCACACGTTGGACTCTCATAGTGAGTTCCAAGCCACCTTGGGTCATATAAAGATAATCTGTCTAACAGACCAGGAAAACAGGCCATCGAGATGGCTTCTGGCCTAAAGATGTTAGCAGCCAAATGTAAAACAACACATGTTTGATCCCCGAAAGCCTCATGATAAAAGTAGAGAACCAACTCTCAAAAGTTGTCCTCTGATCTCCACATACACTACACACACACACACACACACACACACACAGAGAGAGAGAGAGAGAGAGAGAGAGAGAGAGAGAGAGAGAGAGAGAGAATGGAAGCCTGAATGTTTTCAAAACCCAGAAAAAACAGCAGCAGCAACAACAAAAAAAAGCCAAATGCAAATGTTGGCTCACTAGGCTCAGTAGAATTTATTTATTTATTTATTTACCTAGGTTTGATTCTTTTTATTTCTTCTTATTTTAGAAGCACTCTTATTTACATATCAATCCCCCATTCTCTCGCCCTCCCAGCCTCCCATGCTCCCCACCGACCCCCAAACCCATCCCCTACCCACTCCCCAAGGATAGTGAGGTCCTCCACAGGGGATCATCAAAGTTCAGTCACATCATTTGGGCGAGAGCCTAGGCCCTCTCTCATGTATCTGGGCTGCAATAGTATTCCTCCATAGGGAATGGGCTCCCAAAGTCCATTTGTGCTCTAGGGATAAACACTGGCTCCATTGATAGAGGCCCCATATACTGCCTTGGCCTCCTAGCTGGCACCTACATTCAGAGAGTTTGGTTCTGTCCAATGCTGGTTCCCCAGCTTTACAACTGTGCTCTCACTAGGTCAGGTCAACTGTTTCTGTGGGTTTCTCCAGCACAGTCTTGGCTCCTTTGCTCATCCCTCCTCCCTCCCTACAACTGGATTCCAGGGGTGTGGTTCAGTGTTTAGCTGTGGGTGCCTGTTTCTGCTTCCATCAGCTACTCGATGAAGGCTCTATGAATGGTAACCAAGGTAGTCATCAATCTCATTATGGAGAAGGGCATCAAAGGCAGTCTCTCCACCACTGACTAGATAGTAGAACTTACTTAAACCCCGAGTAAACAGGTAAATTTTTAGATACTTATTTTAATGAAGTACTTTATTGAACCTAAGAGCCCAAGAGCATTCTATCACTAAGCTAAAGCCCCAATGCTCCTTTTGCTTTTTATTTTGAGACAGGTTCTAACTAGGTTGCTCATGTTGGCATCAGACTCCTTGTTTGTTTGTCTGTCTGTCTGTCTGTTTGTTTTCTGAGACAGAGTCTCTCTGTGTAACTTTGAAACCTGTACTGGAACTTGCTTTGTAGTTGAGGCTGGCCTCAGAGATTCACCTGGCTCTGTTCCCTGAGTTCTGAGATTAAAGGCCTGTGTTAACACCACCCTGCTGGACCTCTTGTTCCTCATTCTAGCTTCCAGAGTAGGTAGAATTACAGGCCTGTGATGCTATTTTAAAAAAATTATTTTTCTGGTTTTTTGAGACAGGGTTTGTCTGTGGCTTTGGAGGCTGTCCTGGAACTAGTTCTTGTAGACCAGGCTGGCCTCAAACTTACAAAGATCTGCCTGCCTCTGCCTCCTGAGTACTGGGAGTAAAGGCATGCGCCACCAATGATGAGTGGTATAGAATCATTTGTATTTAAAATTGGTAGACCTAAGTCTGTCCAGACTACAAAGAGTAAAGAAAAGAGATAACCTTCCATATTTTTTTCATTCTGTATGTTTACATTAAGCCAACTTCAAATATTCTTTAATTGTGTCTGGGGGGCTGAGAATGCAGCTCATGGGTAGAGCATTTGCCAGAAGTGTGAGTCTGTGGAACAATCTCTGGTACCACAAAATAAATTTTATCTGTACTGCACATACTTTTCCCTTGCCATTATACCCTAAACAATCTAGTGTGACTACTTGCGCGGTTTGACATTGTGTTGGATATTACATGAAATCTAGAGAGAATTTTAAATATATAAGAGAATGTATATGTGTTAAATGCAAATAACACAACTCTCTTTTATTTGTTTTGTTTTGTTTTCTCGAGACAGAGTTTCTCTGTGGTTTTGGAGCTTGTCCTAGAACTTGATCTGTAGACCAGGTTTGCCTTGAACTCACAGAGATCCACCTGCCTCTGCCTCCCGAGAGCTGGGATTAAAGGCGTGTGCCACCAACACCCGGCATAACATACCACTTTTATATACAAGTAAACATATGAAGGCTTAGGCATCTGCAACTGGAACCAGTTCACCCAAGGATACTGAGGGACAGTTGTCTTTGAGTTGAGTATTGCAAGGTGGACAGTGTGACAGTCACGGTCAGTTCCTTAGGAGATACCACTGTGGCCAGAATGGAGGCCTGGAGAGAGAGGTCAGTGGTGCATTGGGCTCGAGACAAGTGCATCAGGTACAAATAAAAGATGCTGATGCTGACTACTAGAGTAATGGAACTGGAGAAGCTTTCAAGTAAAGGCTTCAGGAAGACTACTCTGGCCAAAGTATTTACAATGGATGCCTTTAAGGAACAAAGCCAAGAGGAGGCCAGGAAAGGATATTCAAAAAGACGCCGGAAAGAAAGGGCTGAAACAGGCGTGGTGGGATATACCTGTAATCCCAGCCCTCTGGGGGCAGCGGAAGGAGACTCACAAATTCCAGAACAGCCTGTGCTACATCATCCATCAAGGTGGTGAGGGGCTTGGGGGTGGGATGGGTGGTGAATTCAGAAGAAAAACTGGCAAACATGCAAACTGTGTGTGAGTGCGTGAACGTGTGAAATCTTCCTGTGTATAGTAGCTGTGTGTAGGAGGTCCAGCAATAGAATGAGTTAGCCCACAATATTAAAGAAAGCTATGTATCTTTACATGCGCAGGAATGTGACAGAGGAAGAGAGGAAAGTCATGTGTGTGTGGCTTAAATTGGACATAATGCCCCAAGGGCTTCCAATGGCAAGTAAATGTAACTGATCTTTCTTTAGGCTTTTATTTAGAATAGCAATTACATCCTCTACAGAGGAAAAGCTGTTTAAGAGACAGTCAATTCTCCAAAAGCAACAGGAGTCAAGAGAAACACTAACAATTTGTTTGGGAACTTTATCTGGGACAGCGGGGAGGGAAGGGAGATTATATTTCTGCTGAGTTGTAAAAATAACAAATCTGAAATCTTTGTGTATTTAGGAGCTCCGGTAGAGAACATTTGACCAAACAAGAGCAGACTCTGTAAAGATGCTTCGAGCACTACAGTCTGCAGCATGGTCACATTGATCATTCACGCTCGCCCTTTAGTGAAACTCGATAAACAGCCTCCCTTCCCCCACTTCACTCTGTACTTCCCTCCCAGCGTCTCACTACATTCTTCCAACTCAACTGTAGAAAAAAAATTATTACATGAAAGGACACGAGGCCTTTTTATCCTTTCTGCCTTCCCATGGGTCAATTTTAGAAAGGGTAAAAAGGCTACCGACACTCTTAATTTTCTATTTCATGTACCACAAGGATCAAAGCAGAAGTCTCTAGAAGGTGAGGGGTCTAACATGCCCCTTCTTTCCCCCAGTTATTCACTGGATTCTTTGATGAGCTTCCAAAGCATATCTCTGATCAGAAACCAAGCCCCGTGGAAATTTTTCCTGGCCCGTGTATGCCTAGCTAGCCTCCTGTTCTTCACTGTGCTAATTTCGGTCAAAGACATGAGAAAACTGAACGCACTGGCTGGGAGCCTTTCAGCTTCTGGAAGGTGACTTTTGAAATAATCATCCTTTATTCACCAGCATGCCTCCATGCCACCCTCATTGGTTGGAAGTCTGAAGTATGACAGTGATATTTATTTCTTCAAAATGAAGAAGCTGGGCTTGGTAGCACAAGCCTGTATAGTCCCCTGCAGTCTCAGCCGCTTGGGAGGATCACTGAGCCCAAGAGTTTGAGACCAGCCTGTACAACACAGCAAATCCCCTTTAACATGTCCAGAGCCTTGCTCTGGCTGGTCCTTGTCTACCACATCCCTGTGATGTCCATCAAAAGAATTCAGACAAGCCATACACGGTGTACTACAGAAGTTGGAGTTTATTACAGAGTATATGGCAGACCCTTAGGGAATAAGAGTGGGTGACAGCCAAAGAAACCACAGAAGGGTTTTCTAGTTTTTTTTTTTTTGTCAACTTGACACAAGCTAGAGTCACCTGGAAAGGCAGAACCTCAATTGAGAAAAATACATCTGTAAGATTGACCTTAAAGGTCTGGCATGGTAGAGGATGACTTTAATTCCAACACTTGGGAGGCTGAGGCAAGCATCTTTCTATAATTTCAAGGCCATCCTGGTCTACAGTCTACATAGCGAGCTCCAGGCTACATGGCGAGATTCTGTCTTAAATACAAAACAAAACAAAAAAAAAAACAAACACAAACACAACAACAACAAAATGGTAGTGGCCTGTTGGCAAGTCTGTCTGGTATTTTCTTGATCAATGATTAATGTGGGACAGCCCAGCCCACTGTCGACAGTAGCATCCCTGGGAAAGTGGTCCTTGATTGTATAAAAAAGTACATTGAATAAACTATGGAGGGAAAGCCAGTCAGCAAGCAGCATCATTTATGGACTCTGTTTCAGTTCCTGTCTCCTGATTCCTTCCTTGAGTTCTTGTCCTAGATTCCCCCAGTGATAGATTGTGATCTGGGAGTTGTAAAATGAAATAAACCCTTTACTCCCTAAGTTGTTTCTATGGTGTTTATCACAGCATTAGGAAACCAACTAGGACACAGGATGACAGTAGACAATAGTCAGAGAGACCATTATGTAGTGCAAACTCTCATGGGTGAGATTTGGCAATGACCAGAGACAAATATGCCATTGTACACTTTTCTGAAAGCTAGTTCCTATTTTCTTTCTTTTTTAAAAAAATTATATTATGTGTATGCGTGTTTTTGCTGCGTGTAAGTCTACACACCACATGTGTGTCTGACACCATCAGAGGCTAGAAGGGAGTATCAGATCCCCTAGGATAAAAATCACAAACAGTTTTGAGCTACCAGGAGGGGGCTGGGATTCAAACCTGGATCCTCTAGGTTAGGAAGATATTAAGCCAGTGCTCTTAACTCTTGAGACATCTTTCCAGCCCTTCTACTATTTTCTAAAGTTTCTTCTTCTTTTTCTTCTTCTTCTTCTTCTTCTTCTTCTTCTTCTTCTTCTTCTTCTTCTTCTTCTTCTTCTTCTTCTTCTCCTCCTCCTCCTCCTCCTCCTCCTCCTCCTCCTCTTCCTCCTCCTCCTCCTTCTGTTTGGTTTTCAAACCAGGGTTTTTTTGTGTCACCTTCACTGTCCTAGAACTAGTTCTGTAGACTCGGCTGACGTCAAATTCACAGAGTTCTGCCTGCCTTTGCCTCCTGAGTTCTGGGATTAAAGACGTGCACCACCACCACCGTCACCTGGCTTCTAAAGTTTCTAGAACAGACAACTTCCTTAGGGAGGGATATTGTCTAGGTGATTGACAGACCCATTTTAATTAACTCTTTTATTCATTCATTTATCTTGTTTGAATTAACTCCTGCGGGAGGGGATAATGGTGTCACTTTATTCTTTGCCAGAACATCTGGTTAGATAATAGCCTATATTCTTTCAGTATTCTAGCAATTCAAAATGCCACATAATGCCACCATAAGATTATGTGTTATCCAACAAGCAAGGCCCACTTAAGTATCACTTTGAGACTTTAACCAGGTCAACACAATCCTTCATCTCTGAAATCCAATTCTCTAAGCACAACTCCCTTCACATTTTCTGACACAAGTACATCAGGTGCCCATTACTGGAGGCTCTTGAAGGTGTCTTCATCACAGAATGCCTCAAGCACGTTGTGAGCCGTGAAGGCATCAAGTTACTGGTGAGTGTGGTTGAGGAGGATGGTGCGTACAGCTGGTAGAAACTTTGGAAACTGATGCTGTGGGCATTGCCCTGGTCTTTACCCTTCCCATCTCTCTGGGAACTGTTCCCACCGTTCTTTATCCTCCCAGATGCTCCAATGTATATATTTGTTTGTTTGCTTGCTTGCTTCTTTGTTGAAGGGACAAGAGAAAGGAAAGTGAGAACTTGCCCTCCTACACTCCCCTGCTCCCTCCTACTCTCTCTTCTCTGTATTTGACTTGTTTCTACCTAATGTGTTTAGAGCTTAGGAACTGAATAAACTTTTTGTTTCTTAGGAAACATCTATTCACAAGAAAAAAGCCAACACAATGAACCCTCCTCACACAGAGGACTAAGGAGCTGCGATTGCACAGTTCTACTGGGAAGTTTTGTTTCCCTGGAATAGAGACAACGGAGGTTGCCAACTCATCTAACTCTGCGAGCCTTTCGATAACAAGGGAAGTCGGGCAGAAAGGGAAGGTGGCAGAGATGATTCAACAAAGTGCTTGACACACAAGCAAGTCCAATACTAGAACTATGCAAAAGAACTTGACTGTGCCATATATCTGTAACCATGGCTCTGGGGAGACAAAGGCAAGAGGATGCTTGAAGCTTGCTTGTCCAGCCAATCTAGCTCTGACCTAAAATGCCAAGCCCACTGCGCCGCCTGTATCCAAGAATGAGCAGAGGGTGTTGGGATTGATGACACAAAGTCCAGTCGGTGGTGCAAAAAAAAAACTTTAAGCAGGCCCCAAGAAGGCTCAAGAAGGCTTCCTAAGAAAGGCTTCCCTCAAGAAAAGCTTCCTCCCCCATTCTTACCCCTGGCTAGTTATATGCCCTGACACCAAAGGTAGCAGTGGGGGTGTCATTGGAAAAAGTCAAGGTCAGGGCGTTCCCATGGGCGAGCCCTTATCAGGAACTTATTGCTCCGGTCATGGTATTGTTTTTAGTAAACATGTTTTTAGTAAACATTGTCTTATAGCTGCCTGCTTCCAGGCTGATGGGGGAGTGGGCCTCTGGCCAAGGTCTGTTGTTCCCACACAGAGAGAGAGACTAGGAGAAGGAGAAAAGGTTCTAGTAGAAAACTCCTAGCTTGTTCAAGGGAGCCAGCAGCTGCAAGTTCCTATAGAAGAAAGCAGACTAGAGCAATCTTCTCTTGCTTAGTCATCTTTTTTAGGTGTTTCTTCATCACAATTAGTTTCTATATACCTAATCTCCCAGGGAGCTGTGTCCACTCTGCTTCTCAGAGAGCTCAGCACAGTGCCTGGCAAGGAATAGGCTTCTGGGAATGTTTGGTGAATTAACACTAAACGCCTACTGTGGTGGTTTGAATGAGAACAGCCCCCATAGACTCATTTGTTGGAATGCTTGGCCACTGGTGTATGTACTGTTTGGAAAGAATTAGAAGACATGTGTCTTTGTTGGAGGAGGTGTGTCACTGAGGTTTCAAAATCCCATGCCAGACCCAGTATCCCCCATCTATTTTCTCTCTCTCTCTCTCTCTCTCTCTCTCTCTCTCTCTCTCTCTCTCTCTCTCTGTGTGTGTGTGTGTGTGTGTGTGTCTGTCTGTCTGTCTGTCTATCTCTCTGCCTCCTGTGAATCAGGATTTAAAGTTCTCGGCTACTGTTCCAGTGCCATGCTGGTCTGCATCCCACCTTGATGATGACAGACTAACCCTCTGAAGCCATAAGCAAGCCCCCAATTCAGTGCTCTCTTTCATAAGAGTTCCCTTGGTCATGATGGGTTTCCATAGCGATAGAACAGTAACAAAGCCATTCAGATCTTGATGTCTTAGCCTCCGATTCCTACTCCCACAGCTTTTTTTCTGACTTGTAAGACCTCCAAGCCTTTGATTGATTCACAGCATCCGTGGGTCCCTCATTTAGGACTTCAAATTTTGAAACCTTTAAGGTTTTTCATTCTCTCTGCACTGAGACATTCAAACCAGTTTCCAGGCAGCTATCGTGTCCTGTCAGAAAGACAGACTATGGAAATGAGAGCTTTCCTGGCTCCCAAGAGTGTCACGGATAGCCGAGTCTTTCCTTTCCACTTCATGAGCACTGCGACAGGATGCCACAGTGGGGACAACAGAGGGCAGGACTTTGACACCCCCTTTATAAGCCCTTCCCTCGATAGAGGCTGAAGTTAGCCCCATGAGTAGCTGCTCACCTCAACCCTGGCCTTTCAAGCTGACCTACGTCTTGATGATAACTTTTCAAGAGAGGTCGGCCATGCCTGCATTAGTGGGTGGCACTCTCTTAACGGGCAAGGGAAAAAAGCAGTCTGATTAGAGATGCCATTTCTGTCAACTGTGCTGTGCTCTTCGCATCTCCAGGAATTTTCCGATGAAGACACTGGGCGTACACACTGGGAGAGCTCCTGACCTCACCTGAAGTCAGCCAGTGTGCAAAACCTCCTGGCCTTTTAGCAGGGTTATTTGCATCACCACAAATGCTACTCACTGTACCTGCAGTGAGGAGCACCACCCACTGTACCTTGCTTACAGGAAGTCTGCGGTCTGCTTCAAGACAGGTCAAGGGGGCAATGTGGAGATGCAAAAGGAAACAGCAGGTGTGGGGGGGGGTTATCCAATCTGCTGACACTTTGGTCTGGGATTTGTCAGCTCCCAGAAATATGAGAAACAAACGTCTAGAGTCTGTCAGTCTATCGTACGTCATCTTAGCAGTCTGGAAGCACATCATTAGCATTATGAAGGAACAAATAAGAGTGATCTCTTGAGCCCAATGGACTTGATGTGATTCAGCTGTGCCTCCGATCATGGGCCAAATTAGATATCTGTAGGCTCCTCAGAGAAAGCCTGCTCTCCAGTTCTTTCTCCAAATGTGGGGTTGTCTCTGCAAATGTGATTCGAAGACTTGATCATTGAAAGGCCCACTTTTGGGCCTGGCTAGGGGCATTACGCAGGAAGGTATAAAAGACTGAACAACGAAGTCTAGCTCTCCTTTCCGGCTTTCCAGCTTTCCAGCTTTCCGGCTTCCCGGCTTCCAGTTCAGCGGCGGATAAAGAGAGCCTACGTCCGTATATGTCTTTATTCATGCCTAAAGTGGGTGTGGTTAGTAGTGAGGTAAACCGCCCTTTTATTACCTCATCTGTGTGTGCCTCTAATAAGTCACATGGCTAATGGCGGAGTTCTGTTTTCCTCCTACAGGAGCAGAGTAACAATGATTGTATACTTCCTTATTCTGTGACTCTTTTCACACATTTCCTTTCAGATGGAAAAACTGGGTGGAGAGTGACAATTGTACCTTAGGATACATTTTTAGTATTGAAGTAAGTGTCTTCTTGGAACTTGTTGTTGTCAAAAGAATAGATATATTTTTCAAAAATATCTTATTTATTACTTATTTCTGTGTATGAGTGTTGGGGCACCATGTGCATGCCTGGTGCCTGCAAAAGCCAGAAGAATGTGTTGGATCCCCTGGAACTGGAGTTACAGATGGTCATGAGCCACCATGTGGGCTCTGGGAATTGAACCCAGGTCGTCTGGAAGAACAGTCAGTGTTCTTAACCGTTGAGCCATCCCTCCAACTGACATTGCCTATTTTAAAACTTTGAATCTGAAAGTGTCTTTGGGAACTCATTTCAGGTCATAATGAAGAAGGAAGAGCCTGGAGTATGCCTCGGTGATACATACATGCTTAGGATGTGCGAGAACTTGACTTCAATTCCTTAAAAAATGCTATATAGCTTTAAAGGAATGTATTACATTTCCTTATTATGTGTGTGTATACATACCTGTGCATGTGTGCTAAGGTATTAGTGTCCTTGAGACCAGAGAACAATTGGTGGGAGTAGGTTCTCTGCTTCTACCACGTAGGTCCCAGATACTAAACTCCTACCATCCGGCTTGGTGGCAGGCACCTTTGCCTGCTGAGATGCCCCAGCAGCATCACAAAAAAGAAAACAGATGAAGAGTTATACACTTACCCCAATAAAATCCCATTTCTAACTGATGCTTGAGGATGGATACTTTAAGTGGATGTTCCAAGACCCTCTAGGAGCTGTGTTCATCACTAGTGCAGGAGGCTGCCTCTGGTAATGATGCCCTTGGTGAATCTCCCCTCTTTGCACCTTTGACTTTCTCAACTTCTAGTGGACTGCTCAATTCCCTTCTTAGGCCAGGGCTTTGCTCTCTGTCCATGACCCAGGCCTATGGGTAGCCAGCCCTCTACTGTCAGGTTCTAGACAGTTAATAATGGCAAGGGACAAGAGAGGCAGATTCCCATCCTGCATTTCTTCAACTGCTGATATGTCCCAATACAAGAACTGAGACCAACTTGGATATTTCTTTAAAGCTCTCCAAAGCCTCGGAGAGTACCTATGGCCCCTTACTGGGTGTACAGAATGATGCCATTCCCGTACCACAAGCAATGTGAAATTAGAGCAAGCGTCAGACCTGCTGGGACAGTGTGACTTTCTCAGGTTGCAGAGAGGGTTGCTTGGCAGTTCTTGGCAAAGGGTTCCACTCACCACAAACCTTCCCCAAATTTTGAATTTATTCAAAACTTATTATAATCTCAACAGCACAAAAACTACCATTTCCTGGGACCCTGAACCCAGAAGCTGTGGACAAGCTAGTCTGGAGGATGCAGTTCTCTGGTAGGAACAAGAGTGACCCTGCCTCAACCAAGGTAGAAGGAAAGAATTCACTTCCGACACATATGAACCGTTGCACATAGGTTTTTTCCCCACCTATCTCTCTCTGTGTCTCTCTGTCTGTCTGGTGTGTGTGTGTGTGTGTGTGTGTGTGTGTGTGTGTGTGTGTGTGTGTTGTGTGTAAATTAGCTGTTCCCAGTCTCCCTACACCAGGTGACCCATAATTCCTAAAGCAGACAAAGAATATATAGGCATACTGAGTAGATAGTTTTGGTTTTGTTTTTTGTTTTGTGTGTATGTGTGTGTTTGTTTAAATGTATTCCACATTCCTATGGAGACTATGAAAAGGCTTCCACGGAACTGGAGTTACACATAGGCAATTATGAGCATCTAATGTGGGCGCTGAGAACCCCAGTTTTCTGAAACATCAGAAAGATCTCTTAGCCACTGAGCCCATGTGGTTTTGAAAGTTAGTTGTTTTTAGCTAGAACATTCTAATTTGGCTATGGTCGTTCACCCTGAAATCCTCCCTTAGTACCACACTTACAGGAAATTGTGAGGGAAAGGGAGAGTAAACTGGAGTGAGGAGGAAACCGTGGTTTTTATAAGCAGTGTTACAGCCAGAGTATCTAGAGACGGAGGGACTATGGAAGTCTGCCCAGCAGAATTTCCATCCACAATTTTCCTCTTCTGTTTGGAAACTCAGTCTCTATCAGGAGCACTGAAACCCAGCCTCAGCTGATGAGAGAGAGTATGATAAAGAAGAGGGTCCAGGGAAGCCAAGGAAAACTCATTTTTTCCACTGGTCTTCAGGGCAGAGTGGAAACAGCCACAGAACAGACAGCCCTCATAAGTGAGAGTAATGGCCCTTTGAAGAAGGTCTGAGAACGCCGTTTTGTGTTGACAGATGCGCCCAGCTTGACATGATGTCCTTTGTCTAGAAACATTGCTACCTAACTTTCAGCTATCTAAAGCTCATCTGTGTGCCCCTCCCCCAAGAACCACAAGCTTCTCAGGAGACAGAGGTTGGAGTCACTCAGCTGTCATCCATTGACAGAAGGGGCATCCAAGTTTGGCTCCTGTTGCTGTAATAAGAACCCTAACCCAAAGCAGTTTGAGAGGAAGAAAGTTTATTTCTGCTTACAGCTTATAGTCCATCATGAAGGGAAGTCAGGGCAGCATCTCAGGGCAGGAACCTGGAGAAAGTAACTCATGCAGAGACCATGGAGATATCCTGCTTACTGGATTGGTCTCCATGGTTTATTCAGCCTGCTTTTCTCACACCTCCCAGGATCTCCTGCCTAGGGATT